AACCTCCACCTGAATCCACCCATCCCACACCGTGATTCTGGGTCAATTTCTGCCCACTCCACACCGTGATTCTGTGTCAATTCGTGCCAAAACCAGATCCCATGTTGGAGCCCATTTCTGTCCATCCCACATCACGATTTTGGGTCAAATTATGTCAACTTCCCATCATATCTTTGTCTCAATTTTTGCCAATTCCTCCCCAGTTCTTTTGTGCTAATTCCACTATGTTCCCTTTGTTGTTTCCTGTCACCTTTATGGCTCTTTCCCATTAATTCCCGTCGCTCCCACCCCCATCCCACTCCCCCATATTTCCATTATAGCATCTATTAATGCCCCTTAAACTTTTGCATCAGCTTTTCCTCCGCGTTTGTATACAAAACCCCATCAACACCCACCAAAATTCACCTCAAACATTCGGCAGCGAGTGAGAAAACCAGAGATGTTGGTTGGGTCCATTGCTGCCAAACTTTGTGCCCCAAATTTCTGACAATTTACATCAAATTCTGCTTCAATTCCCCTCAAATCGCATCAAAATCACAAACTGCAGCAAATTGGTGACAAAATCTGGGTCAGTTTTACCCATTTATGTCAATTTATGTCAACACTGGGGTCAAAAGGACATGAATTCCCACCTATGTATCACAAATCCCATCAGATCTGTACGATAAATCCACTCACACACTGGAATTGGTGCCCATCTGAGCCAAATTCACCTTCACTCGGATCAAATTCACCTTTATTTGGGCCAGATTCACCTTCATCTGGGCCAAAATCCACCTCATTTGGGGCCAGAACTCACCTTAATTGGGGCCAGAACCTGACCAAACTTGGGCCAAATCCACCTTCATTTGGGTCACATCTGAATTTGGGCCAAATCCACCTCAATTTGGGCAAATCTCGATTTGGGCCAAATCCACCTTAATTTGGGCCAAAACTCACCATTTCTCAGCGATTTAACCAAAAAGAGTTAAGAATCACTGAGTTCCCATTCTCACTTCACAACGAATACGTGTGCAGAAATTTGTAGATCCACGTTAAAAAGTCCCAAACCGACCTTTATACCAAAATATCACCGTGCTCAAAGAAATCACGCAGACACACATATGGATATTGATGGTTTTGATGCTTAAGATGCCTTTAATTGTCACCCACCCCCAAGTTTTAACGCTGCTCTTTATGTGACACATCAAACTCTGCATCGTTCCCACACAAAGAGGTACAAAAAAGACCCTTTTTCTCTACGTTTATCCCCCAAAACACCCCATCCAATTCGACATACTGAAGCCTCACTGCTACAGCCCAACACAACCCACAAAGCGGGGACGTTTATCCACATTTCTGAATATAACACACAACCCCCCCCCCACCCAAGACTGCATTTACCCCCAATTATGTAGAAAAAGTTAAAAAACCCTCATTCAACACCCACCAAAATAACTCGAAATAAAGATTCCAACTCCTCATCCTTTTTTGGAGAGGAATTCCCCAAATTACGCCCATTTCGTCGTGAAATGAAGGGGATCGCACCCCCTAAATGCACCCCCCCCCCCCCCCATCGCCCCCCGAGGAGGGGGGAGGTGAGAGCGGAGCTGCCTGCCCCATAGGAATGAATGGGCCGGAGGACCCGGATGTAGCACTGCGGCGGCGCCACCGCGCATGCGCGGCGCACACAAAATGGCGGCAGTGGCGCAGCGGGAAAACCGCGCCCCACAAAATGGCGGCGGGGAAGAAGGGGGGGGAGGAGGAAGGGAACAGAGGGGGGTCCTACCCTACAGACCCCCCCAAAAAGACCCCAGAATTCGCCCGAATAACCCGAAAATAACACAAAAGCAACAATAAAATGCAAGGTTTAAGGGTTAAAATCCCGATTTACCCGCGATTTCTTGCGGTTTCAACGCTTTGTTTCCGTTTCCCGCCGCGCTTTGTCTGCGCGCCGCCCCTCCCCCCCCCTCCCCCCAACAGGTTTGTTTCTTTGAGGTAAAAATTACCCCAAATCCACAAACATTTTTTATACCGACGAAAATAAAGGGATGTTTGGTTGCCTCGCCAAGGAATTCACTCAGAAGCGCAATAAAAATCCGATAAAAAATGCGAAAACGGGAGCAGAAATCGCGCAATGAAAGACCTTCCCATCCCCCCCCGAAATCAACCCCAAAATTACAAAAATTGGAGAAATAAACGCGATTTTTTTGTCATAATATCGAAGCCCACGCTTTGCGGTTATGAGAAATAAAACAAAACGGCGTTTTGTGAGGAAAAATAACGATTAAAGGATCGCTGAGGACAACGCTCATTCACGGCGATGGCCGGAAATAAAAACTACAATTAAACAACTTTATTAATTGATCTTTACCGCGTGAAATTAATAATCAGGTAACGAAGCTGAAATTAGGAGGTATAATTATAAAATTAAGTAAAAATACACTTTTTTTTCCAGGTAAAATCAGGAATTAAACCGCTGTTGATCTGCTCCGTTCTCTCCTATCGAACTTCACCGAAATAATTAAAAAAAAAACAAAAGAAAACAACTTTATAACGAATTCTTTCACTGTAATTAAAGCCACGGTTTTTAATTACAAAAAAAATGAAAGAAAACGTTGTTT